TTTCGTAAATTTCGCAAAATGTTCCACCTTAGATTGGACAAGCCCTTAGTTTTTAATTTTTTAAATTTAGAATCAAACAATTTGGAACCGGTATGATCAGGGCACCTATTGTAGGTTATTTTAACCTGATGTGTGCTAATTTACTTTAATTTAGGTAAAATTATTTTTTATTAAAATTTAGCACTTACCTTACTCCTTTTTCGACTGCTCCACTATAAGTGTTGGTACGGTTTTGATGAATGTAAAAGACAACACGTTGTTGATATATCACAATATTTTATTGACATACACAATATGAACACAGGGTATCATTAGTGTCACGGTGACGATGGTCAAGCAAAAGCTTGCTTGCCTCGTCCGCCGTTGGTAGCGACCAGACCGGTTCTCGGTTGCGATCACGCGGTCGCCGATAGAGGGGAGTTTACCAATTGCGCTTAAAATTACCTTTTCATATACCAATTGTGCTCTAAACGTTTTAATGTCGATATACCAATTGCGCCCTAAACATTTAAGGGTCAATATACCAATTGCGCTCTAAAAATTTTAGGGTCGATAGACCAATTGCGCTCTATACATTTTACATTACCTTAGGAACACTCATTATTTGATTAAATATATATATATATATATATATATGTACATATTTTTGGTTTTTATTACATATTAACCGATTTTTTGCAAGTATTAATGCATAATATATTGTGAGATGCATTATACCGTTTTACAATGTTTAATTTTGAGTTTAAGGTAATTATGATGTTTGTATTTTGCATGCTTCAATAATAATAAAATTTTTTTAAATAATAATTTGAACATGGCATTATAATTTAGAATAATATAATTTGGTTAGTTTACAGAATAATATATTTGTTCAATAATAAATTTGTTCACTACAAGGAAAGGAGAATATAATCATAAGTATAACAGGGCAATTACATTAAATATTAAAATAATTCATTTAGTCACCACGAGGCATAATAATAACATGATAATTTAAAAAAATATATAATACAAATAAATTAATAAATATACTAACCGGTCACAAATTAGAACGTCAAAAAAATGTAACTATAAATATAAATAATATAAAAATAAATTAATAGGTACACTAATAATCAGTAACAATTTTGATCGTCAATTTTTATAATAATAATAACACACAATTTTTAAAAATTCTTTTCTGCTATATATTGTACCTATATACTATATTGTATATTGTGTGCAACGAAACAATTAGGCCGATAAAATATATCCGATGATAATGAAAACTTGTTTTCGTACATCATTCAAATGCATACTTCCGTGATAAAAATATGCGCGTGATAATAATAATGTTTCATAAAATTCCCGATACTGTTATAAAATATATAAAAACCAGTCACTTTAGCTACTAATCAATGATCAATAAATATCAGGCAAATTTGAATACAAGCGCAATTGGTATATTGACAGTAAAATATAAGGAGCGCAATTGTTACACTAACCGTAAAATATAAGAAACTCAATTGTTAGGTACTCTGACCCAAAACTATATGCAGTGCAATTGGTATATTGACCCTAAAATACAAATTTGGTTTTAGGCGCAATTGGTCCACAGGCCGATAGAGACGCCGCGGACCTTGCGATAACGACCGAGACAAACGATTTGAAGAAAAGAAAAGAAAAGATCAGATGAGCATTATACTGTCAAAATCTTTCGTTCTTGATCCTAGATACCACGAACTTAAATTTTTATCGGAGGACCAAAAACTTCAGTCTGGGAACAATTAGAAAATGAATTTAAAGAATACAAAGGGATTCCAATAACAGAAATAAATTCTGATGAAGAAAAAAAGTTGAACCATCTGTAAAAAATATAAGATCTCTTATTGCTGACGGTGACGAAGACGAAGAAAATAAACTAAATACATTTAAAAATATTACAAATAAAATAAGTTCATAATCAATATCCATTATCATGGTGGAAATACAATGAGAATATATATACAGTAGTTTCACAGATGGAAATAAAATATTTAAGTGTAATAACAATAAATGTTCCTTGAGAACAATTGTTTAATGGAGCTGGCCAAAATAACAAAATCGGATATCACCAGAAAGGGTCAATCAACTACTTTTTTAAACATTATATTTAAAAGGAAAAGATAATTCCAGTTAACGTAATAATATGAAAATTATTAATGATAATATTTTTTAGCTTGAATTGACTTAAATGAACCGATATCAATAACTGAAAATACATCGTTATGTATCACTATTAAATACTAATATACTAAAAAGACCATCGAAATAAACAGCTATTTTTAATAGAGGGGCCTACAATTTTACATTGAAAAATTGTATGCATAAATACAACAAAATATTATGTTACTTAACAAAGATTTATTTTTCTCATAGAACAATATCTAAATTGCTATAATTTTTTTCAAAACTGGTCAATAAACACCAAATACTACTACGCGACTAATTATATGTGTATAATAAAATTTATGCAATATAATTTATATACAAATACAATAAGTACATATTTTTTATAATTTACACACTCATATGTCATACACTCAATAACTAATTATTAAATCACAATTTTGTTCCCAATTACAGGCTTAAGAGTTAAGTTTTCTGCCTATCTATTAGTTATTACTCGGAAAACAAACTGCTTTAAAAGATTTATTATTATACCTGGAAGCATTTCAATATTTGAAAAATTATTTGTGAGTTTAAAATATAATGTTAGGTATAATGTAAAAACTAAAAACAACTAACAATAGCAAATCGCCAAAATAACTATCCCTGTTACCCGCCATCACACGATCACAGTCTTCGTTAGATCCCCCATTGCACCATAGTTCATGGTCTTACCATTGTTATTTCCGCTTCATACAATTGTGGGTAAAGTTTAAACAAATTGATGATATTTTTAATAATAATAGGTATTTTTCATTAAATCGACGGAAATAAATTAACATTTATGTGTATTCCATAAAGTATAATGTATAGGTTAGGTAGATTTTTTTTTCTTACCGAAGCTTTTACAAGTAGTTGAAGGACTGTTTTTGTTGGGATATAATTATATAACCGATCTTATTACCATATACCTTCAGCTTCTGTATGTGTGTACATACAGGTGTTAACTGGTGGATGGAGGAGAGGGTTGTTGCCTCAAAACATTTACGAGAAAAGCCATTGGTTAAGAAAGACTAAGTTACATGACTAATGTAATGAATAGAGCAAGAACTTTTAAGCACTAAAAAATCATCAAATATGCATTACAAAATATGGAGTTATGCATCAAAAAATACAGTTAAATATGCCCTAAAAAAAATTACCCGCACATAATACACTAAAATATTAGATTTTTTCTTTAAATACTTTATTAGTTTATTATTTAATTTCCTATTTATTAAGTCACCCCACCATACCTTTTTAATAATATTACTTTACAATAAAATAGTAAAATTATATTTTAGTATCGGTATTATAGGTACCTGATTAACATAAACGATTCCTAACCGAACCATGATAAAATTAATTAACATTTAATTGGAGAACGCTACACCATTTCAACTTTCAATTTTTAGGAACACGTGAACTAGAACAAAATTATGTATTTATGGCTTAAAATTAGAAGTAACTTTGATAGGTGCCTCCCATTCATACTGTAAATTATCAAACGATAATTATTTAAGTATCTAATAGTTTAATGTTTCTTTAATTAATATTCTAGGATAGTTCCAACAAATATCAAAAATTGTTATAGGAGAAATCTAAGTATAAAACGCCTAACAATAATGATTCAAGACGGGTCACTAGTACTTAAAACCTTAGTAATCCAACAACTTTGCACATTTAAGGGAGCTCAGATCTTCAAATGCTGTGCAAACCTTTTCTCGACAAAGCTTACTTACTATAAGAGAGATATGTTTACCCTCACATTTGACCCCCCCCCCCTGAAATAGTCAGTTACTATTAGCAGTACTATAACAAAGTTTAGTCTTTTCTACTCAATGCATAGCGTCATGATTTTGAACTTAGACATTAGCATTTATACGTTATACCAGTTTTATAAGTAAATCCACTATGATTTCAAGCTACAGTTTTCAAAAGATAACAAAATAATACCAAATAATTTACTATTAAGTATAGAACTTAAGACTGTTCTAACTAAATCCACAAATTAACAATAAAACACAACAGAGTAGAAAAAAGTACCACAACAAGCTGCGTCAACTAAAAAAAATATTAACCAAGAGATCTAGTATAAATAAAATTACCCTTTATAAAATATTATTTTTCACTTAAGTTAGCAGCTAAATGCACATTCCTTTATAGTAAATCATTAAAAAACAAATGATTTAAAATTTAAATTATAAAATATAATTTACTTAAAGAAATTAAAGAAATCATTTACATTAGAAGATTAAGTCTTAAAACATAATATTATCACACAAGGTTTGGTAAACCAAAGCATGCTGTAATACAATAATTTTAATCATTTAATATACACAATACTATACCAATAACACATGATATTATACATTTCACAAATATACCACCCTATAAAAATGAATGATATAACATATATAAAGAACAGTATTGTGAAAGGAACCATATCAACTGTGTACGTTCACTAGTGCTTCAAAAATACCTCAGCTTCAGGACCACTGAAACTCATCAGGGTAACCAACTGCAAGTGAATAATAAGTAAAAAATTATTATATAATTCACAGAGTGATTCAATTTTCAAGTACACCTTGTGAGTTCAGTTATTTAATTACTATAATATCAATAAAACCACAAGCCTAGAAAGCAATAAGCGAGCTCAGGTAAGTATCAAAATACATTTATTAAGTGTTATAAGATGGTATTTAAACACCTTACTGTTTCTTAGTTAGCAGCTTTTGGTTTGAATAAAACTTTTCATTACATATTTTCTAGACTAATCATTGTATTAAATTGAAAACAAACTCATTTTAAATGGATTTCAGTATATTTGGTATTAATTATTACAAATTATAATAGTTGTATTAATTATTAAATAACTAAGTATTATGAGATAAAAATTTTAATATATCAAATACAGTTAATGTGCAAATCTAAAAAACCAGTTTGAAAATAGCCGCAATTATCAAAATTAAATATTAAGTACAATTATCACCACAGTTATTTACATAAAAAACTAAACAATAAACTAGCTTGCCATACTCTTTCGTGTATAAGAATAACCTCAGGTGAAGACTGATTTTTATGAGGTAAGGTCAGACCACAACTCTTGATAAATTAGTTTAGGTTAGAGTAACACATTGCTGCCAACCGAGGTTACTCTTACACTATGTTCAGAGTATAGAATACTACAATAATAAAATATAATTATATTCAAAAAATTGTAAACAACAATAAATAAACTATAAATATAAACAATGATAATAAACAACAATAAATAAACTATGATGATATAAAATAATAAAAGAATGCTAAAAATGTACTCTAAAATTTTAAATTTAAAAAAAAATACAAAACTATTACTAGACAACAATCATTTTTGTCACAAATTTAATTTTTACATTACATAGAGGACAATTCTTTGATTTTCTCCACAATTTTTTGGCACATGGGTAACAGCAATAAATGTGGCCAATTTTGCCATGGTTAAATACTCCATTTTTAGGCATTATGTAACATATGTTACATATGTTATTAATATTTTCATTCATTAAAGTGATATTATTTTCAATTATTTTTGTTCGAGTTGAAACACCCTGTTGAAGATTTGATTGACTGGATTTCTGAGAATCTTCAATTAAGTTGCATTTTTTTTTTGTCTTGGGCCGAGGCTTACTCCCAAAATATTCCATTCTATACTAAAATAAAATAAGAAAATAGAAAGAATTTTATTAATAACTAAAAAACATATCCTTATCATCTATATAAAACATAAATATAAATATATTAGTTAACTATATTTTATCTCCATATCATAATGAATATATTGCAATCGTGTAGCAAAACTCATTACTTTTATAATTTGAGTAACATACTATAGTATAACAATTATTAAGAACAAAAATCAACCAAATCAACTCCGTTAATGTGTACATTTTTTTCACTTAAGCCCTCAGCATAAAATACATAATTGAATTACAATTATTTTCATCAAAGCTCATTTTAAAAAAGCTTAAAATTGTCTACTTCAAAATATGTAAAAAAAAACATAATGCTACTAATATTAACAACTCAGTTACAGAAATAACACAAAACAAATTCAAATTTTACAAATGTATGAATGAAATTAAATAATAAAAGTAATAGTTATAACTTATAAATAATAAGCATGTATTAGTATTTTATTTGTCCAAAATGAAAAAGAATATGATAAAAATTATGACATATTTTTAATACACATGATCTGTATAATATTGACTTATATGATATTGTGTACAATGAACTATTATTATTAGATACAGTTTTTGGTGATACTATATTTAAGTACTTTTATCCAACTTAAGTGTTTGGAGTTTATTGACACCTGATGATTTTTTTATCTTCCATATTTAAAACTTAAACTTACCTAAAGTATTATTATCCCCCTTATCTCTCAAAAATGTGCTTTGATGAATTTGATATCTTTATTTTATTATTATTGAAAGAAACAACATTTGGTGTAGCAATGGAAGTATATAAAAGTTATCTATCAAGTATTCATAACTATACAGTACTACTGACATAACAAAAAACTACAACACACACACGTCTGTAATCCAACAAGTAACATATAGTAAATTTAAATTAATGAAAAAATATATCAATTTGCAAATACTTACTCGAAAACAAACAAAACAGTATTGGAAGTAAGGGTTAGGATTTTCCTTCCTACATTGGAGGCATTGTTGAAAACAGGCCGGAGGAGGCAAATCTGTCTTTGGATTACTTACTTGGCATACATCGGTATCATCAGGTAAGTATCCATGGTCAGTACCAAGTAAAGTTTTATCGCAATTTATAATATTGGTGACCTAAAAAAAAAAAAATAGAATATTTGGTATACTAAAAGCACGCACATGCATAGTCCATCTTAAAAGTATACAACATATCAAATTTGTATTCAGCAGTTCAAATATTGTGAAATAATTATTAAGTTTAACAATAGCTCAACTAGGTCTTACTCCATTATTGACACTTATTAGCAAAATTGGAACAGCTAAACACAAAATTGTATCATATGTTTTTAACCCGTCGTTGGTATCGTCATGCAGCGTCCCACCATTGGTATTGAGTGAGCGCCGCGCTCACCTCGGTGTTTTTTCAACATAACTCATTATATAATAAACATAGAATATTGAAACCAACACCAAATTGTTTATATTTTAATCTTTTACCAAAAGTGTTCTTACAATTTTCCTTAATTATAAATATTTTGAACAATAAAAATTCATTTATAATTTTATACATAAATGTTACTATTATTATTATTCATCTTGACCCGAGTGGTCTGAAATGGTTACGCAACGCTCACTTTATGGTTACTAATGACATTGCATGTTGATATCTAATCAAGAAATATTTATAAAATTATTATATTTACAAAAGTATATTTAGACATGTGTCAATTGAAGATATAAATAGTATCAAATGAATCAAGTCATAAATAAACCAGTGGTTCTCAAAATACTAACGAGGTGAGCACCGCGCTCACCACGATACCAATGACGGGTTAAGAAGGCAACAACACTGTTGGTGTGGCATCTTCCTGAAGAAATTATTTTAAACCAAGATCGACAATATCTATGCATAAATAACTAATCTAAGATATTAAATATAGTTATAAAGTTATAAGTTATTACAAAGAATGTGAACAAAATCAGTTTGTATTTTACCTTAAAATCTATTAATGTTGAGGAATCTGACGAACTGGATTCAATGTTATGACCAGATGACGAAGTACTGGCCACATCAAATTCGGTGTGATTGGTTCTACCATTACAGTCGCAGTCACTTCCACAACTCTTGTCAGTAGAAAGATCTGCTTCGCTTATTGCTTCCACTAAGAAATAAGTAATATTAAATATCCACAATAAATGTATAGTTGTTGTTATAAATTGTACGGTAAAATTAAAATTAGATTAAAATTTTTAAGATAGACATATAATTTATGCTAAATTACTTATAATTTTTATTTATCCTTCAAAATATTGTAACAATTATATGGTTGTATCAAAGCTGGATTATGCTCAAACATAAGTACATCATTTTTAAAAGCTTAAAATAAGGTCATCTAGGAAAAATGATCAGATTATTTTTACTTTTATTAGGTATTTTACTTTCCAAAAATGTACAAATTACAAATATAATTTTATTCAATTTAGTTTTCAAAATTTTGTACACTTAATTGAAATTGATTATTTTAATAATCTATTTCTAACATTTTGTGAGCTACAGTAGTTTATCAATGGTATTTAGTAAATCATTTTCTATTGGTAATAAAAAAAAGCATTCAACTTTTCCTCTAATAGTTGATTATATTCATAATATTAGTTGATACAAATATTATACTACTACTTGTGGCTTAAATATACAATGCCATAACATGCACATAGACCTATATTGTTAACAAACAAAATAAAATGACAGGGTATGGGCTTAAGAATATATCGTCCCCTTACACTGCCACAAATAATACAGTGGGGGTTATTTAGAACCTTTCAGAAAAATATTTTGCTTTGGCCTTTGGAATATGAAATTGACATAGATATTGTCATACAAAAGAATAAAAACCTTTAAAAATGCTGAAAATAAAAATATATAAAAATGTCGTTTTTTTTAAAACATATATTCTTTTTGAAATAATAAGTATTCAGTGATAAAAGGTACACATAGTTTGTTGTATGTAATTGTTTCTAAATGGCTACAATTTACATCCGTACAATTTATAGTGAAATCACAGCAAAAAATTATGAGTCACAGTAACTTCTTACACTTGTGAAAAAAAGGTTATCCATTTTAAGAAATTAACTTATTTTGAACAATGTTTTTAAAGATATATTTGTGTAAATATATATACATGTACATTGTACATTTAAATTTAAAAATATTGATTTTATAATTACATTCTCATATTTAAAATGTTAGTTTGACGTGGTGTAATAACAGTTGATAATAACAGTTTATTCGAAATTTATAAATATACTTCATTGTATAAATAAAAAGTAAAAATTAACAAAATATTTAACCAATAAATTTTGTTCAATATAATTACTTGTAGTTTTCGATTGAACGCTATGGACACTTTCCGTGACATCAGAATCATCAGTATTTGATATTAAATCTGAGCATTGCATTGTGTAATTATATAAATATCGAGTCCTCTTGCCTCCCCAGGTTGCATCTTGATCATCATTCAAATCTATCATTAGAATCATAAAACAAGTTAAGATTAAACAACTCAATAACTAAAAACCTCATTTACATACCATTATTACTATTCATTTCATTCACTTGTCTTTTCAAGACCATATCTGAAATTTAATTTGTTTTGAATTAATCATCAGAACATTCTATGACTTTCAAATAAATATGAAAATAATAAACTTATTATACAGAGTAATGAGAAATAAAATGTTATTTATAAATGTAGCATTTAATTATATATTAATGCAATTTATACATATCATTGATTTTAGTTTTCCACTACAGTGTAATACCACATTAAAACAGAATCTGCATACATTAAGTACATTTTTGGTTGTTCTTATTAAATCTGATAAGAATTACATATTTAAATATGTTATACAAATGATGTGTTAATGTACCTTACAAAATTAATGAATTGCAAATTATACTAAAAATGTGTATACCTAGGTACACAATTAATTAAGCAATAGTTATTAAAATAAAATGTTTTAGGTTTACAAAGGCCATTGGAAAAATTTGAACTGAAATCTACTTAACTATTTTTATAAATGTCCTTATACTTATGAGGGAACATAAAACCATATCACAAGGTATATTGAAATGGGCGAACGACTAAAAAAAACTATTTTGATTACCATTTTTAAATTAATTTAAAGTTGGTGACTGCTTCGCTATAGATTTTATAAGTAATATGTCAAACAAAGATAAATTAAGAAAATTTGCCGATAATAATAGGGACAATACAATGTCTCCTCCAAATATTGGGTTTTATGTTCTGACACTAAGACACAATTAATAAATTCCATTAAATCATTTCATTAACATTTCAAAAATAATTTCTTTACCTATGTCACATCCACCAAATTTCCAAAAATGTTTAATGGTTTTTTGCAAATACAATCAAATATTTACCTTAACATTAGACACATATAGGAGAAATCATAGGAGTACACAGAAGGCCAAGAAACACTTTAGTAGTTTAATCAGACACAATTATTTTCTAAATGAAATTAAAAAATACGACAAATGAGAAAAGCCAAAGTTTAATTTTGTACAGTCTGTAAAGTCTCATAATTTAAAAAAAAATAGTTTTTTTATGGCTTATTATTAATATAATTAATGTATTGATAGTGTATAATTGTGTTGTAGAGTTACAAGAAAAATTAATTCATTTAATAGACCAATCATGATTCAAGGGCCACTAATTAAGTTTAATGGCCCATTATTGATAGCTCACTATTGATTCAATAAATGTTTAGTGACTGTTCATGAAACTCTGCATATGTGTATGTATATTTCATTTAATGATTTTGTGTTGTCGATGAATTAATAAACATATGACTTAGGTATATTGAATTGAATTAACTTAATAAAGTCTAATCAAGTTATACATATATAGCCCAATTGCCAATACCCTTAAAACATTATTTTTTTTTGTTGTAGCCCAATACCATTGTCTCAAACTCCAGGATGATTTTAATAGATTCTCTGCCTGGGCAGAAACTCTTGGTCTTACATTAAATGTTAATAAATGCCGGTCAATGATATTCACCAGAAGTCGCTCTCCTATCACTTACTCCTACGTTTTGAATGGCTCTTGTTTAATTCCCGTTGATTCTAGCATTTGTGATCTTGGTTTTACATTTACTTCCTCTCTTTCTACTCGTGCCCACATCGATAAAATTACTTGCAAAGCTCTCAAGGTTTTGGGTTTCATTAAAAGAATATCTGGTGAATTTAAACTCACCAGCTCTCTCAAATCCATCTATTGTGCACTTGTACGCCCAATCGTTGAATATGGCTCTATTGTATGGGATCCTCAAACTGCTGATGCCTGTTATCAACTCGAACGTGTTCAGCGTAAATTCTTGTGCTATATGAAGCATAAATTGAATGTTAACTGCCCCCCTCATGATTATACTCCTCTACTCCGTCTCATGAACTTATCTTCCTTAGCTGACCGTCGCCGCTCGCATGCTCTTGCTTTTCTTAATAAAATCTTATCGGGATCTGTTGACTCCCCTTCACTCCTTGCTCTAATTAACTTTAAAGTTCCTGTTAAGTGCACCCGCAACACACATATTTTTTTTATTCCTACAAATTATTTACAAAACGAGCCAATAAACCGTATGTTGAAATTAGCCAATGAGGACCCGTCATTTCTTCCATAGTATTATACTATTATCTTTTATTTTGTTTTTACATAACTCATGTAAGCTGTACCGATGTACCACACTTAAAATTAGTATGTAATTTTTGTCAACATTACACCATACATATCTGTATCATGGGCTCACGCCCGTTTATAATTAATAAAAAAAAAAAAAAAAAATATAACATAATGTGTATTATAATAAACTACATTCTGTGCAAATGATCTATGAAATTAATTTACATGGCAGCATCTATTAGTACAAGAATCTGTATATTTTTGAAAGTGCAATATACAACATCATTTGAACTCTCACAATTTTATCTATTTATCATACATATTTATTTAACTACTCTTTTGATTTACAAAACTGCACTGTAGAATATAAACGATGAGTACTAATACAGTTTAAATTATGTTGTATTTTCAGTAGGTACCTAACAAACCAATTCAAATTTAATATTTAAGCAATTCAAAACGAAATATAAGAACTTCCTCGCTTTATTAATGTGCATATATATATATACATATAGGTAGTAGGTATATATAGTTGTTGACACACAATAACTCGTCAACCTTCATAACTAGATTTTTTTCTTATCTATTGAAGTGACTATAAATTGTAGGCATTTGAAGCATATAGCCATATTAATTTTTATTCCCGTCGTGATTCCAGTGTATTATAATCTACAATAAAGACTTACCGTGAAAAAACCCGCCAACAACCAAAGTCGTAGTAAAACTGTGTGTAATTAATACATTTTCACTGGACGCGAAAACAGTACAACACAGAGTGAAAAAACGATCTAAACATTCGACGCATTCGATAACAATGTTATGACGAGGTTTAAACTAAAACTAACTACTAAGTGACGCAGTTCGCACGGTCCACGGTGAATCATTGCTGAGCACTGGCAAACGACCATTGACCGTCCCGACACAACGAGCCTGGCACAACATGTAGCAACATGCGAATACAAGACGGCTTGTCACAAGTCTATGCGCAATCGACAGGATATGACGATTATCGAAATTCACGATAGTACTCAGCGGTCAATATTATTCCACGTGCACGGGAAAACGTTCGGGGCGACCGGGTGGCGTTGTTAGAACGAAACCCAAAAGCATAACGACTTTGAATCCTTTAATACAACACTGTTGACACACATTAAACTATTTTCGACTCTGAGCAAAACGTCAAGAACACAACATTACTACACTATTAAAGATAATATATCACCAATGTTATTGTTATTATATTGTTTATCTGTGATAAGCGGTTATGATAATAATTGATAACGTTAATCTTGCTTGTAGTTACTAGTTTGTAGTCATGTACTGCTTGTAGAACACCTTTGAAGATTACTATTTTTTACTCATTTATTATTTATTATTATTTATTTAATATAATATTTTTTTTTTTTCACGTTTAGTATCATTAATTTTAATATTAGTGTGAATATTGTCCTATTAGAAAACCCAAGAGGATGTCAGCGCCCTATTTGTGACATAAATGCAACACAAAAAAAATTGAGTTCAACAGCACCAATTGTGACAATTTTGTGTTGTTAGCTTTAATATTAGAGAGAATTGACTTAAAATAATAGTATTTAAATTTATATTAAAATCGTAATATAATAAAGTATATGTAAAATATTAAATTTTAAAAATGCTTATATTATGTTTTAGAACATTCAAACGATTGTGAAAAAGACAACTTACAAAATACAATCCCATTTCTAAACATTAAGTTTGATAATAGATAAATACAAAATTAAATTTAATATTAAACCTAATAATTAACATCGTTGGTTCTGCTTAACGCAAATTTGTTTCACATAAAATAGAAGAAACCAATAATACATTGACTTTGTCATATCCCTCTTAACCACTATAGGTTTACTGGAACCTACTTTTATGGTTTATTATAATGACATCAAACATTACTAACCCTTGTCAATTGCCGTAATCGAAAAAAAAAGTTATGTAAGCAATTTATTATTATTAATAATATTATATATAAATGTGTGTTAACCTAAATGATATTGTACAAAAAGCCAAAAATAATTTAAACTAGTTCAGGGTATCATTACAATTTGATCTATTTTGTTGAAGTTAGACACAATTCCTCGTTCAAATAATATAACTTTAGGTCATGTTATTATATTTGTTATGATTTATAATTATGTTTTTTTGGTATGTGTCAAGTAGACCATGGTGTAATTTGGTTCATTTTTATAATTTTTATTATTATGAATTGACAATTATTGAATTACTAATTTAATGTTGTCAAATGTATTATAATAAAGTACTTTCATTTCAGTTATTAAATAGCCAAATGGTTCTTTTTAAATCAATACAATTCACTCATGCATGGAGCTTTATGATGCAAATTGTCAAAAAAAAATCTTAATAAGAAAAAGTTGTACATACCAAAATGGATTTTCAGTAGTTTCAATTTTTTGTTTTTGGTTTAAATATTAATGTGTTCGGTTGGTTTTTCACAATATTTTAATTTTTAAGCTCATTTTGGATAACATGTAAAATTTATAAAATGCTCATAACTTGCTTAATAATTAGAATATTGTATAAAACTAACAAGAGAACATAGATAATATTCTTACCTTAAAATTTGATGATAGGTTAATTCACTCCACGATATTTTAAGAGACCGTGATTCACTCTAATATCAAAACTAACAACACAAATTTGCCATGTTGACCATGTCTTACACATGATAAATCTCAAAATATATTAAAATTACATTTTAATACAAAAATGAATTGGAATGGTAGTAATACTGAAGTTTTTATTGTTTATGTATCAATTTAATTATAATTTATGTTTTTTTAGATCCCTGTACTATTGTATAATAGGTAAGATTTTCAGAATGTATTCAGCTCATAAGGATATCTAAAACCTATTATAAACGAATACAATACCAAACTGAAGTGATTTTACTGGAATTGTAAGCATTTTCTACAGCAAATAAATTATTATAATTAATAACAAATTGTAATAATTATGATCAACCTTATCTGTTTCAGATAAAATCCACCTATGCAAGATTCCAGGACATTTGCAGTTGGCCCTTATCGTACCAGTTGTGGTCAATATATTTCTATCTATATCTGAATATCAAATTTAAGGCACTATATGATGTATTATAATATATAAACTATAATGTATATGCTATCATATATATTAAGATACATTTTAACTTCACTTCACACTTTTCCAAACTTAGGACTGGCAGTATTTTTTACTGACTAGTTTAAAAGCTCAATATTATTATATTAAATGATTCATATAATTATAATATATTTGTCAATCAGTTCAACTAGTAATTTGTTGAATAAACAATAATATGTAACAATTATTTTATGGATTGTTCAATTGACAACTTATTCTATTTTTTGAGAATTCGCTATGATGTTCAAGCATTTTTTTAAACCTTTGTCTAATTCATACGCTAGGTACTAATGTTTTTTTAATTCTTTGTTGGTTTTGTCCAAATGTATATACATTTTTTTCTTCTTTTGCCTTCCATACTTAAATAATTGCATGAGTTTAAAATATCTTCAGCTGTTTCATGCCTCAACAACCTAGTGGCTACATGAAATAATAAAAAGAACCATACAAAATACTGTCATATAAAACTGTTGACTAAATATCATCTATTTAGTATTTTATTGTATAATTTAATATATATAACACTTCAAATTTGATTCACAGGTAGATAGAAATAAATTGATTGCAAATGACTCAAAAAAGATGCCAACTACATTGGTGCCACCATCATAAACAAATAATAATGTTTGAAACATTTATTGATGTAATAATAATTACGGGGCATAAATATAAAAATATTTTTAAGATTCTGGGATACAAATATATTTTTTCACAAAAGTACCATAACTTTAACCAGTTAAAACTTTCTATAGTATACTCAAAATTTATATTCATACAAAGTTTCAGGTTCTAGTAAAACTAAATAATCATTAAAAATTAACACCTAGTTTCAAATATTTTTCAAATTTTACGATAAACAAATTTTGGTTTAGTTTTTTAAAAATGTTTTTCTTTAAATCTAGGCTTAAAAACAACTGAAATCTAAAATTATTAAAAGTATAATATGTAGTCATGTAAATTATGATATATCCAAGTTAATTTGGCAACTAAAGTTATACTATTATGTATACTATTATTATAAAAGTTTAAATAAAAGTTAAAAACTATTTAACTATATAAATCAGAGTTTTAAAGTATAATTCGATAAAATGTACAGTTATGAATATTATATTAATAAATTAAACAACTAGTGAGTAATGGTAAATACATAATAAGGCTATTAAAAATTTAATTTTTGTATACATTAATATACAAATTCAAAGTTTTCCAGAGAAATAAAACATGCAATTTAAAATCATTTTATTAATGATAAGTTATGCACGATATATATTTACACATAATAGCCCATAGACATAATATTAAATTTCACAAAGCAAATTGTTCTTATTTTTGAAATAACATAAACATTTTGACTAATAATGTAGAAAAAATTACATTTTTAAAATATTTAGATTAATTTTAAGGTATTAGCATTTAGCATATTGCCTATTCATACCATGAGCCTATTCACACTGAACCATTTGACTAGCTGACTAAATGTCAGTGACCGAGAGTGTATAGTATTTAGAGGTTTCACTGCATATATGTAATCAGAATCTATTATCTGTAGCTGTGTTACAACCAGTGTCAAGAGTTTGACGCTACACAAGTTCACCTGCAATTGTCATGAGTAGTGTGACAGATATGACCCAGGTCATGTCGTCGTTGCAACCTGCTTACTATTTCGCCATCACTGGACTTCTGTAGTATCAATTCTAGTTTTTAGGATTTGTCCTGATCTTGTGTGATCATTACATCACACTGAACTGATCACAGAGACCCCCCTCCCCGGCTCCCCCACATAACTAAGCTATACCATATAACAATACCCAATTCCCTCTACGTCTACGCAACACCGTTGTCGTGTATTAGATTGCCTATCTTAGAGCATCCCGGGGTTTAGATTAAATTACATACCCAACAAATGTCAGGCGCGTTCAATTCGGTTTTTGTATTGTCATGAAATGGCCTGTGAGTATTTTTTAATATTATTCAGGTACATACAAGCAGTTCTGGTCAAATGGGGGGGGGGGAGGAGAGGGGGTAAGAGAGATGAACCCCCTGATACCTTTTTTTCAATGTTGAAGAGCTGATAACCATAAATTTGAACTCATCTATACGTCATAATAAACAGTTTTGAGTTACAAATCAAATAACGTTAGGGGTATAAGTATAACATCTTAGGTATATATACACTACATTTTTACAAAAATTATACATGATAATAGTTTATGACATAATTTTCATTATAATATATTATATTTTTTTATAGACATACACACGCAGTGACGTGCTCAACTTTTTTGAAAGGAGGGGGGGCTCCATTTCTATATTCCGGGAAAAATTCAAATAGCAATTAACAGGACGTGTATTTATAGAACAAACGTATTGATACGTGCTGTCTTATGAGTTATGCTGAGTGCGAAGTCAATAAACATGACGCACGTGAATATTGAATTTATAAGAATACAAGAACGCGATCAAATCTATGACCAAAATCTTGAATTTTAAACCTAAATCCTTTAATTAATAATAATAAATCATTGCGAAAAAAATTCGATGGGGGATATGACACCCTGACCACTTTTTGCTCTGGATCCGTGCCCGAGTCCACAGGAGGGGCTGTTGCTTAATCTGCTCCCCCTGTGGTACCTCCTATTCAAGTAGTTAAAAGGTAATTCACAAATGATTTATCTTCAGTTCATGAAATATAAAAAAATGTTTTGTTTATTGAATGATTTGGCGCTTTGCCATTGATTACAAAGTATATTACTATTTTAAAAATTAGAACAAATAAAGTAAATTTTTTTACAATTATTTTTATAAAAAAAAAATCGTGACGATAGTTCTCGTCAATTTATATACAAATAAAAAAATTTTATAACAGCATAAAAAAAGTTGGAAACTGGGTAAGTGTAATATTATAATAACGCTCTGTTGTATCTACATTATAGGTGCCTAGAGTGTCACTGTAATAGTTGTGTTAAATTTGAATTCCGTAAACATTGTATATATATTACACAAAAAACGATTCTGAGCAAGGACGAACTGTGAGCCAATATTATTCCTAAGTACATTTAATGATATATATGGTTATTAGCGTCATTTATTTCACTATTAGGTATTAGTACTACACTCGATTAAAGATAGTAGGTACCGTACCTACTGGCTGGTGGCTACCATACCTTTAATCGTGGTACTACAGTTTAAATAGGTTAAATCACAATTAAATAAAATAATTATAATAGATACACACCCGAAGTTTCAAGTATTCGTGGCAGCTAGTGAATATTTTAACTAATATACTGGGCGACAACAATTTCGTCCGGAGGAAACTTTTTGTCGCCTTGTATAGTTAATTACTACGGAACAACGATTTTTTGTAAAAATTTCGACGTTTGAAATTATAATATATTGTATTTATTGATTATCTATTATGTTTAATTTTTTTATTCATTTATGTCGTATATCATTTCGTTTTACAAATAATCTATTCATAGAATAATACAATAATACAATGCAAAAAAACAATTTAAACCGCGCGGCTCGCGACATTGTGACATGTTTTTACCTGGCCGTCGGTTGTCCCTGCAAATATTTATAAATTAATTTTTTTTTTTTTAGTTCTTGCTGATACAAGCTATAAACTAAATGATTATTTCATTTTGAACCTTTAAACAGTTTAAAGGTTTAAGCCTTCAAGGTAATACGTCATTCATATTACGACAGGGCGACTTTCGTCTTTTGGTAAGTATAAAATAATTACAATTTTTTTTTAAATGTCGCCCAGTGATAATTCCTTAAAATATCCACTGATTCGTGGCCATGGTTTAATATTTTTAAAACACAATAAAATACCTACCAAACTAAAATCGTTATATTTCGTTTAATGTTTAAATATCTAATTTCGTTCAAATTTTAACTTCAAATATCAGCTATAAAATAAAAATTGTGTTGATTTTTTAATTTTTTGTTGCAGTATAAACTACTTTAAAGAAAATTAAATATCAAAATAAATAATTATTATTGTACCCAATTGAAATCTGAAATATCATATGTATTTATGATATATCGTGTCGTGTAGAGTTGAATAGTAGCCTATATAGGTCACGACGTTTGAGGTTTGACCAATATTTGCTACCCGTGTATTAAATACACGGAACACGACACGACAAAAAATATGCATTAAAAATAACAAAATATGAAAAAAAACGGAAATTTACTAATTGATAATTAATTAATTACTTACAAATTATTATAGGTACACCTAGTTACTTACGTTTTTAAATCATTTTTAGTCACTATGATTACGGATACGTGTATTTAATTAATAATGTAAGTAACGTATTCAAATCTCTTTTGATGTGAATCACAGTGGAAATTGACAAAAAAAACCCAACAAAATCAGTAGATAACAAAAGTTAAAAATTTGATTCAAATAACACAAAATTATGAAGGGCGCGGCGTTGCTCGCATCGTATCAGCGCTTCCGCGTAATCGGTGTATTTACTTTATCTGTGTTATTTTACCATTTAGATTAAAAATAATTTAAAAGCACGTTTATTAAAATATAATTAATAAAATATTAGCAATTTTGATTCACGAACCTGTAATTATACAAAACAACTCAAACTAAAGAATACGTAGAGTAAAATTTTTTAATTTGAGTTCTTTGTAGGTAGATATCATTTACCTAACACATTTTTAGCTTACTCTGCTATTTTTTCTACATCAAGAAATATGCAAATGCTAGAAAATCCCCACCCTGCTTATAACCATAGTTAGGTTAACTTAGGGTACAAATTAATTTCTGAATTTCTACTCCAAAAAATGTTGTTTCATATTTTTGACGATTGACCAAATTTTAACTAAGCCAGCCTAGGTATTTTAAAATAATTTATATATACATATATATTTGTTTATGTTAATACATATTTTGTAAAAAGCAAAAGAACCCATAGATCCCCTGTATATGTTAATACATATTTTGTAAAAAGTAAAAGAACCCATAGATCCCCTGTATATGTTAATACATATTTTGTAAAAAGTAAAAGAACCCATAGATCCCCTGTATATGTTAATACATATTTTGTAAAAAGTAAAAGAACCCATAGATCCCCGTATAATATTATACAGTATGTGCGATGATTTGATTGAGTTTTGTGGATTAGATTATTGATTTTAAGGGTTCCAACTTTCTGATAACAGATTATTATTATCTTAGGAACATCAATTGTGTTATCAATATATACCTAATCTATACCTTATAGACATTTTCCAATTAGTTAATTACCTCTATACAAAAGCTATAGATTAGTCAGTAATAATATTATATAGTAACAAATTGTAAGCTCATCTTTCTACTCTTTACGAGACTTATTGTCTATTTGTCTATTGCAGAGTACTCAAGTACACTCGAAGAAAAAAATGTGTACATAACTGCATGAACAGTTTATAGTTGACATGATCATTATCACAATAACAAATTAAACATTTCCATAATTAATTTGTATTGCCAATGGACCATTGCCCATTGGACAATATGTTAATATTTGTATTATTATATTGGACATATTCGAAAACGACGATTACGCTAAGCGTCTGGATCCGGGTTTTTTTTTCCTGGTGGGGTGGACTTTTGTGTATGGTTTCTTCGTTGAGTTTTTTTATCCAGGGATTTTTATTCCGATTTCTAATGTAAATAACTTAGTAAATGTATTTACCCTCAGTAATTTCCTAAGTCATTGTTACCGGGTGTTAGTGGTGGTAGGGGGATGTAAAAATCACCTTTTTAAATAACCTTTTATAATAATAGGACTGTTCCATAGTTGACCAACGAAAAAATGGCAACACCACAAACCGTGGTAAATCACTACCCAGAAACCGGGGTTCGGTCGCCACAGGACGTGTCGTGTACCACTATATAGTACCGTCAGACAAATACCGATGCCACCGGTGGCACAGAATGAAAACGGTGGTGGTTGGGACAGTGGGCGGTGCACAATGACCTTGGTCGAATCATTCCGGTATAGACTATAGACCGATGTGCGACCAATATTTTTTTTAATCGTGATACGTTTGTTGTCCAGCAGGGTCGTACTGACTACCGAGTGACTTGGTGTGCACACACATTCCTCTTCTACACTGTTGCTGCCGCCGCCGCCGTTAGTATCACAAGGTATTAAACATTAGTGAATTCCACTCGGTGACAGGTTATTACTGCCGTCATCGTCATTTGTATTCGTACGTTAGGTAAGCGACGACGACAATATCATTATTATTGTCGCAATAAAATATATTCAAAAGTATCTAATTTAAATGTTATTTTTCATCATATAGGACCACATATATTTCAGTCGTCGCCATTATGCATCGGTGGATGGGTTTGACAATGAGTAAGATGTGCGGTGAACTCGAGTGCCCCGAGTACTACCTGTGCGAGATCCATGATTTCCAATGCTATCCGTGTCATTCGTACTGCAACAAGACATCGCAAAACTTCGACGCCAATAGATGCGAACAACAGTGCCAAGGTACGTCCATGCAACTATCATAGGTTAGGTTAGCTAGCCCAGGATTGAGTTTATGTACCCACGCATTTTTATCATTTTCAGTTGTAACATTTACAGCTCAGTGGGTAAACTACTTTTCCTTAATAATTTATGAATGCAATACAGCTGATGCAAATGTATACAGGCGTTTCAGATCATACTTCATATTTTATTTATTTAATCGAGGTTTATTAATGCATATACCTTAGCATGTATAAATATTTCAAGTGTATTTAAATCCGGAAACTAGATCTATAACAATAATAATTATTATTTCTCCACCTCTGCTCGCGTGTTACATTAAATAATATATAGAGTATTATAGGACCTTATACATGGCCGTGATAGGGTACTCGATTTGATGGCGAGAGGGGTGCACAGGGCAGGGAGCTCCTTTACATTTTTTTTTTACTTTTACAGGGGGGATGGCACAAACTCATGCTCAAAATAATTTTTATTAAAATGTGGATTTAAATTGTTGTGAATAATATACCTAATGCATTTTACAATTTTTAATGTATTCAATTATTAGATATTATCTTAATATCTTTTCTATGTTTATACTACCTGACTACCTAGTAATATATTTTTTTTTGTGATTTATCACACTTGTTCTTTACCTAGTGCAGTAGTGCAGTAGTGCATAGATAATAGATATGTACAATAGGCTATTGTATTTTTAAATATCTGTGGACGTGTAATTGGCACATGCATCTGAACCATGAATCAAGATACTGTCAATGATAAAAATTATTTTTTTATTTCCTACTGAAATATTTAAGTATTGCTATATAACTATCAAAATGGGAATTGTAATAACATAAAAAATATTTTTTTTAAGCTACTGGGTGTATGCAATTTAAATGTGAAAAATGTCGAAAAATTGGGTGAATATAAATCTACAGTCACTTACATGTTACATACTTACACATATTATATTAATTTTCTTATCTACCACAACAGTCATCTATGCAAGGTCAACTACGTCGTCTTTTTAACGACAAAAAAACAATAATTAAAAACCCATTTAAGGTAGTTTACACTATTAGTGTTTTTCTCGTAAAATTTGTTCAGTGAAGCTTCAAATGTCTATTGTACAACATAATCGTTAATTCAATCGGTTCGGATTATTCTGTAGGTATACATACGGATCGCATTGGCGCCGATCCCTATCTACGTCTACCTGTTGTGGCTACAACATGTTATATCGTGGTAGAGTGAAGTGGATTCGTGGGTGCTTAATATTATATTATGTTAACAGAACCCAGAAAATATTATATTATGCACTATTGCAAAACGTGTATATTATCATAGTGCATTATGTGGCGAGGATAAATTGGTCGTCCTTCTTTGTTGCAGTTTTTTAAATTTTTTTTGTATTGCCTTAGAATACGATTTCGGAGACCACCACAAAAGAAATTGTGTACTTGTATGTAGGTAATAAATAATGATTTATGGTACCTGCAGCTGTGTAGGTTGTTAGGTCGATTGTAAAATGTCTCCTCAACAGTATAATATACAGTATCAGAGGACAGAGAGACGCTCGCTTGGATTACAAAAAATAATATTACATTCTCGATTTTATTATTTCAAAATAAAATAACGTTTTTATATTTAAGACGTTCGTTCTGAAAATGTCATGAGATTAAAATTATCGATAAACTGCATATTATATACAACTATAACACCTAAAATTATTTTTAAATTAAATCCAAATAAAATGTTTTTGCAATTGATTAACGAGAAACTATTAACGTTCTATTTGAAATGTATTGAAAAAATGTTGTATGTTGTATGTTGAATAATGTATTCAATTTCATTTTAAATGTAAAATTATTTTTTCAATGTTTTCGGAATTTGATTTGCACTATTTCACTATTACTTGTATAGTTTTATACGCTTTTAATTGGTATACCTACGTGGCTACATTCATTGTACCTATATACGTCGTAAAATATTTTTCTCTAATTCTGCGAACTCTAAACATTCGTGATCTTTATGTCAGTGAATTCTATTTCATAGGTAACTTTTTACGGCGTGTTACATTAACTCATAAATCATTATAAGTAAGTAAGTGAACGAATACTGTGGGTTGTTTGCGGTGACCGAGCGCAGAAGCTCGTCTACTTGTTGAAACCTCAGTCGCCACGCATTAGTCGACCGCGGAAAAGTTTCTGACACATATAGATCGAAATCAACTTCATCATCATATTATTATTATAATACACGACGATCTTAGTATCTGTCGTCTCTAGATTTAGCCGGTCACATTCCGTCGCCCAGCAGCGGCAATCAGCTGTCTGGTGCATACGCCGTATACACGATATCACAATAATAATATAATAATGTTAAATGGTTTACTATAATATGTATAAACTTATAATATGTGTAGAATGTACCGCGATAAATACAGCAGTGGTGTGTCTTATGTCAATCGGGTTGTAATCCCTTTATAACTTTACCTTTGACGGGAAAACTTAACAAATAAAATATACAAGACGACGGAATAGTAAATACTATTGCGTTTTAAAGTGTTTTTCGCATCTTGAGGAGAGGGGTGGTGTTTTTTTTTGATGCTCGGAATATTAGTACGGTTCATGCAGTTTATTACAAAAAAAATAAAAACGAGGAAAACTGGTACTATTCATTAATTGTCAGGGGTCCTTAAATATTTACAAAGTTTATAAATTTATAATATAATTTTGATAAATCACCATTGTCAATAAGTTAAATTTAAATAATACTTAAAACAAAAAAATAATGTTAGCAATCAAAAGGCACAAAAAAACACAAATAAGTACATTCAAAGTATCCGGGAGGTAAAATAAATATAAATTATAGATACAATAAATATAATATAATATAATTTATGATTAATAATTATTATTTGTATACTTTGCTATATTATTTAAGAATTTATTGTCCTATTTGAATTTATTTATTTAAGAAGCTCTCACATTCGTTTGTGTTGTTTGTCTTATAAAGTATTTATTTTACCATACACATTCACATACCTCTACACACCGACATGCACATAACTATGTATAGATATACATGTCACATCGCTGATGTTTTGGTGCGGCGTACATCGTTATCAACTTAATTTATCATTTAATGTTTTGGGGTGCATGGGAAAATCTATCGTAGTGTCATTTATACAGTGATTTAGAACCCTTCACCCATAACTCGAAGCGTGAGTTAGGTATTCGTGAGTCACTTCTCCTTGAAGTACACTTTAATAGCCTTCCAAATTTGGGTATTTGACCTTTTAAATTCTGAGCGGAGCTATGAATGTATTGATTTTACAATTTTGTAAAATAAAATTTGTGTTTTTACATTTATATATATATATTTTTTGTGTCTGCCATCTCGGTTTCTTAAACTAAAAGTGCTTCGATTTTTTTCAACAGTAACTTTTCTGGTAGGAATGTGAATCTAGTTGATGCATTTAGGAGGTCAACATTTAAAATACCCAAAAGTTTTCAAAAGCAGCAGGAAAAACTAAAAAAAAAAATTAAGAAAAAACAGGAAGTTTTACACAAAACAAGTTTTCGAAAAAATCGATTTTGGTTTTTAGTGGAACTTTAACAAAAATGACTAGATACATGAAATTTTCACTGGATATTTGTGTTAGCATTTTAAATACAGCATAAAATGTTCAAAATATTTTGATTTGTGTTTAACTATTTATAGGCATATGCAATTTTCAATTATTATTTGTTTTATTTTAGTCTACGGTCAATAAAAAAATGTTTGCTCCGTCAAAAAACTTGTTATTGTATACAAGGTTCTTGAAATATGTTTATAATATCAGTTGTGAAGTATTAAAATTACTCAGGCACAATTTTTTTTATAAACATTTAAAGTTCAAATTTTGACAAGATTTCTCAAATTGAAAAATGATTTTGTAGTTAAAATTTATTAAATGTTCATTTTTACAGCTAAGGATTAAAAATTTAAAACAAGGTTCTACGTAAGTAGATAATTTTGAAACCAAAAAAATCTAAAATAAATATGAGCACAGCTTTTTTTTTATAGTTATTTTAAATTCAAATTCAAACGAAATTACATATTAATATAAAGAATAATAATTTTAGTCATTTTTTGTAATTCGGTTCCACAATAGCCCAATTTTACACAAGTACCTATATACAATATTTTTCCAGCATCACTGATAATTTAAGAATAATATTATGAACAATGTTAATTTAACTTATCATATACCGTATTAATAATAAGTAATAACAATATAAAATACTGATGTACCGTCTCCGCTCAGAATCATTTTTCTTACACAAAAATATTAGGTATATCATTGAATTAAAATTTAATACCATCCATTACAACGATCTTCTAGACACCTAATGTACAGCAGAGCGAAATCCACTTACCTGTTTTTAACATTTAACTTGCAAAGAAATATGATTAAGCATTAAAAAATATAGGGTTCGTCCTTTTTTAACCTAACACAAAATAAGTAGGTGGTAAACTCTCCTGATTTTTATAACTAGTAAACTTCTCCAATGGTAAACACTAAACTATCCCTTATTTTTTGAACCCTTAGTGTCCAAATCTGGTTAGACGGCGTATCACTACGTTACCTAACTAATTTATGGCACACTATTAACAATTTGTACGGCAAGCATATTTTATGAAACTATATTAATTATATTTACATATGTGATTTTTAAATTTAAACAGACATGGAAGAGTTTACATGTACTTGTTAGGTAATACTGGAGTAGACATTCGGGTCATTAAAATTGGGAAAGTTTACATGAAAGAAAACCAAAAAAAGAACAATTCTATAACTCCTATATTTTTTGATGCGCAATCGCGTTGCTTTTTTTAGGTAGAAAGATAAAAGATAGAAAATGCGGTTTATTAATTATTTGACAGACTACCACATCAATTTACTGTTTTTTTTATTTTTGTACACAGATTATATACATGACTACATAAAGCATTACGTTAAAGCTGATGAAATCCAAGGTAAGCGCCTGCATTTTTTTGTCGGAGACTGCCTAATAAATCCTATATACATATTTAATAGTCTTGTCAAATTTGTAATAATAAATACAATTCATTTTTCACACCACGTTCAGATACAATTCAAGGGGAAGAGACGCTAAGATCAATGATGATTTCTATTTTGGTGCTGCATATAGTCGTTTTGCTCGTCATAATAACTATCCTGATAGCGCTGAAATGGCACCGCAAGAGGTTGATGAAGAACACTGATATCAGAGGAAAAGTTTCATATTCAAGAAACAAAATGGCTGTTTTGAAAGTAATAATACAATATACCTTTAAATATAGTAATTATATATATTATTTATATATATATAATTCTACTGTACGTGTGTATGTCACTGAACTCCTCCTAAACGGCTGGACCGATTTTAATGAATTGTTTTGTATGCGTTTGGGTGACGCCCTGGATGGTTTAGATTCGCAATTGGACCCGATTGGTTAGGTTGCCTTAGGGGCCAATAGTTTAAGGTGAAGCGAGCCATTATACTTGTTATTTAACTGGTGAGGTCTAGTCGAAGACCGAATGGTAGATTAGGATCACTGGTAAGGTTACCCATCACCCCGAAAGATAGGTAAGCAAAAAATTATTGATTAAGAAATTAAGTTTTGAGGAAGGAAAGTAGGAGTACTTTATGTTTATATAACTATACTTTATTAAACATAGACTTTTAGTGCTACATAGTAGAGTTATGATGCATTTGAGTATTTTTAATCTTAAGTACTGTATTCAAAAAATAAAATGACTATCTGATATTTCAAATTCTAATTTCACCACCAACCTTAGGTGGGTTATTGAAATAGGTAAAAAAAAATCAAAAATTGTTATGGATGTGGTATGCAGCAGTAATAGACAGAGGAGTGGTTATGGGTAAAAACATAAGATCGCAAACTTTGGAAGTACATAGCATTAAAATAAAGATTTGAGCAATTTTTTTTTTGCGCCATGTTTCTAAACATTTTGAAGTACGCATATGTTTTAAAACAAAAATCCAAAAAATTGCGTAGTACCCAAACTGCAATTATTTTATTAAATCACTTATATAAAAGTACCTATATTAAATGTCTTATATTTTTCCGATTTCAAAATGATGTTTATTTTACTTTTATAGATAATAATATAAATTATATTTTATGAACCTATTGGGAAATTTAGTATTTATTATTATACCAAATTTTTTCATTCTTGCATGAAACATATCAAATGTATATTTAATGGTTTATTTGAAATGTTTTTAGTTTTAATTAAACTTAATAGGTTTTGGGTACGTATCCGGGAGTGGAGTCATATTCATAGAGATATATTCACCAAATGTTAACATTCCATTGACTGTTGACATGTGCACTTTTAAACATATTAGTTAACGACTTAATTCTAAATTCAGCATAGCAATAACACGAACTCGAATCAAAAATATATTTTAATAATAGAATGTTAAATATTTTTTCGTCTCTTTATTAAAATTCAAAGCTATAATTATGTTTAAAAATAACATTCCAAATTATCGAATTGACATATAGGCGTAATTTTGGGTGAAACACGATTGCTGACGCTTTACCTTTTTTTGCAACACGATTGCGGACGATCATTATATAACATAAGGTCTTATGTTGCACCCAAAAAATTGCACGACTGCCGTCGAAATTTAATGAAACGTTGCCAAGTTGTGCGACGCTTTCTTCCAAGCCCAACGATTATCAATTTTATGAAAGTTCTTAATAATACAGTACAATTAGCTCAATATAAAAATATAATATAAACATTTAAAGTCAAGAGCTCAATATAATAATAAATAAATAAAATTAATATTTTTTTCCCCCTATAATGACAACTAATTTTTTTTAAATATTGTACCACGTTTTGGTGATTTTTATAATCATTATAGCTCTGAATAGTTAGGTTGATTCTATCAAAATCTTTTTTTGCCACCGGTTTCTCTCGTCCTTTGTTTATGGATGAAATAATTGTCGCAGTTTCTCCTTGAGTTTCTTTTAAAATCGATATAATTAAGTGAATCGGAGGATGAGTATTGTGAAACTGGATATTGTATGTCCGGTGAAAACTTTCTGCTCCATTTGTAGTTCTTAAACAAAAATTAATATTATAATTAATGTACCTTATAATTAAATATTATTATTATTATTATGTCTTGGGCTCAACGTTGGTCTAGACGCCCAAAGATTTGGTGGAAATAAAGCATCAAGTTCTATGTAGTTTGATAAGACGTAGTTCAAAAATATATATCCAATTGGGCTTGGACATATTGTCATAAGCTCCAAAAATGCATTCTCAACTTCCAGATATGGTAAAAACGGTAAACCAAAAAATAACTTTAACCATTGACCATGTTCATCATTTTGATTATTATATGCTACACGCAATTGCGAATCTCCGTTTATCTTTAAATATAAAACTATTATTAGTACTGTTTTGCGGAAAAATAATATATTATATTTAATTAAATTGGTTTATTAATTAAAAACAGATGAGATTTTATAAATTGTATAAATATGTTACCTTTCGCCACTATGATTGGCCAAGATGAAATCTGCAAGTTTCAATAATTGCACCGGGAAATATATTTCTTACTGCCTCGTGTGCTCCAATTTCGAAATCCAAATGTAACTGTTTGATGACAAAATTGCGATTTAAAAGTTTCAAACTTATCTTCAAAAGAAACCTCCACATTTCAATATATGTTTGTTTTGATTTATCAGGCAAAAAGAAATAAACGACTGGTACGTAAAATCCATTTTTGTAACAGTGAATAGTGTATAATTGTAAAAAAAATTTAGGTGCATAATCAAAAGTCCCATCTGCAAAGAACTCTGTGCTCTCCGTGAGTAAATTAATATTTGATAAAGTCGTTAAGCAAATAATATTTTTATCATCGTGAACATGGACAAATTGATTACCTTTAAATTGAAAAAAATCGTCTTCATGCAAATTTTTTATTTGATCAATTGCTCAATTCATCTAATGATTTTGGAAATGTTTTGTAATGTTTTCGTCTCTTCTCATACATAGTTTTCCTCACAGTTTTTATGTCTTCTTTAACTATCTCTGTTACTGTATTATTTAATAGTTCCGTTTTTATAATTTTTAAGGGCTTAGTAGATAAATCTTCTTCACATTTTCTTTTGCAGTTTTCCCTTAATATCTGTCGCTTGATATTTTGTACAGAGTTCTCAGCGCAGATATGCTCACCGGAAAATCCACAGATTGATTTTTTTTCTGATGTCGTAAAAAATACTTGCACTACAGACTTTATTTGTACATAACCATTTCAGAATTCCATCTTTCCGCTGTCGCCTAAATCGATATTTATTCGTTTTGTGTAGAACTAACTCTTTACCACGTTCTGATAAAATAATTTGAAAGTCTTCCATAGTTTAAAAACACAATATACACGATATACAACGAGGTTGCAGCTATTACTGCAGTATTTAACAAAAATGACTTGTAACTGCATACTAAACTTAATACACTCAGAATTTCCACATACTCACATTACCGAAGTATTATTTATAAATTTGGCAACATGTGTCCGCAATAGTGTTATATTTGGGGGTCCGCTGATCAACTATAATCGTTCGCAATCGTGTTATTAAAAAGGTCGCCCCGATAAGAACCGTCCGCAGTCGTGTATCACCGGTAATTTGGAGGGACTTGCGTATGCTTAGCCCCCTCCCTTCTCCCCCTCCCCCACATTTTTCATGTTGATTTACATTTAAATAGTCATTATGTGGGTACCATAACCATATTATAATAATATTGAAAAAATTATAGAGGCTTCATTGCCATTCCCCCTACTCCAATCTTAACATTGATATTGCGCCCCTGCAAATTGATTTAATTTAAATTTTAAATATGTACTGCATTTTTTTTTTTTGGTCGTGTACTCATGCCTTGATTAATTTCATTACAATATGTATAATTTATTCTAAAGGTCATATATTTGTTTTTGTTTTGCGCAGCTCGAGGATAACGCGGTGAGCACGGTGAGCGAAACAGTAGATCAGCCGGCGACGATAATAGAACTCGAGACAGCCTCGTCATCGAACAAGTTGCCTTGCGAGGATATCACACTTGAGACCCAGAATTTCAACGGCTATGACAACCTAGGAATGTGGAAGGTGTGAAGTGCCCCCGTGCTCTGTAGAAAACTGTAGCGATTTTATTTATAAATATATAATTAATATTATAGTTATTTAAGTCACCGCTTACTTAAATTTGTATAATAAANAAAATACTTGCACTACAGACTTTATTTGTACATAACCATTTCAGAATTCCATCTTTCCGCTGTCGCCTAAATCGATATTTATTCGTTTTGTGTAGAACTAACTCTTTACCACGTTCTGATAAAATAATTTGAAAGTCTTCCATAGTTTAAAAACACAATATACACGATATACAACGAGGTTGCAGCTATTACTGCAGTATTTAACAAAAATGACTTGTAACTGCATACTAAACTTAATACACTCAGAATTTCCACATACCCACATTACCGAAGTATTATTTATAAATTTGGCAACATGTGTCCGCAATAGTGTTATATTTGGGGGTCCGCTGATAAACTATAATCGTTCGCAATCGTGTTATTAAAAAGGTCGCCCCGATAAGAACCGTCCGCAGTCGTGTATCACCGGTAATTTGGAGGGACTTGCGTATGCTTAGCCCCCTCCCTTCTCCCCCTCCCCCACATTTTTCATGTTGATTTACATTTAAATAGTCATTATGTGGGTACCATAACCATATTATAATAATATTGAAAAAATTATAGAGGCTTCATTGCCATTCCCCCTACTCCAATCTTAATATTGATATTGCGCCCCTGCAAATTGATTTAATTTAAATTTTAAATATGTACTGCATTTTTTTTTTTTGGTCGTGTACTCATGCCTTGATTAATTTCATTACAATATGTATAATTTATTCTAAAGGTCATATATTTGTTTTTGTTTTGCGCAGCTCGAGGATAACGCGGTGAGCACGGTGAGCGAAACAGTAGATCAGCCGGCGACGATAATAGAACTCGAGACAGCCTCGTCATCGAACAAGTTGCCTTGCGAGGATATCACACTTGAGACCCAGAATTTCAACGGCTATGACAACCTAGGAATGTGGAAGGTGTGAAGTGCCCCCGTGCTCTGTAGAAAACTGTAGCGATTTTATTTATAAATATATAATTAATATTATAGTTATTTAAGTCACCGCTTACTTAAATTTGTATAATAAATTATATTGAGAAAATAAATCGTACATCAATATCATTATATCGTTTATTATTATATGAGCTCACATAGCTATGTATTTTAAAACCGAGAAAATTATATCGTAGATATTATTAGATATAATATATTAGATTATCAGTACGTCGTCGTGGACACTAACCACGAGTTAAATTTTATGTTATTGTGAATACCAAATAACAATTAACACAACTATTTTTCTGTAACCCGAATTGACTTGCCAGATCAGTTGTTGCAAAGTACACTTAGGGATTTTTATCATAATATTAGTGGAAGTTTTACAAGTCAAATATGTAATTATCAAGAATAATTCACTTACTAGTTGTAGAACTACCTATTTTAGATTTCCTATTTTTTCATTAATCCAAAATATTTTTTTTTTTTTTTAAATGAATTGTGTTTGATTTTGTGAATTTAAAAAAAACAATTAAGCTGTACCTAAATATTTAAATTTATGCAAAGTTTGGAATGAAGCACTAGGTTTTAAATTAAAAACTAAATCTCTGATTTGTATAAATAATTTTAAGCCTCAAGATAAACAAGCTAATTTGCTTAACAATAACACTTGAAGATACCTAACTCACACCGATCGTAATTTGTTCTTAATTCTAAAACATTTAAACCATGTTTTTCAAAACTCGCCACTTCTTGTGATGTATTTGCAGATTGAAGATACATATAATGCATGTTTTAGTATAAATATTGGTTTAAAGTTTCTTTGTTTAGAACATCAAACTAATATATTTATAAATAATTGTTCATATTATAAACCAATGATAATATGACAGTATTCCTAAATATTTATGGTGAACCAAAACACAAAATAATAGAGTAAAACAAAAAAAAACTATGAATATTCATCAAAATATGATTTGTTGGTTAATTTAATTAGACAGTATGTATCATTGGTGTACCTTGGGAAATTTTAATTGTGACGGGTGGAACAAACTTTATTTTATGTCTATATGCTGTATATTTAAATATTAGGTGTTATACTTCATTTATGAAAAGTATAAGTAATATTACCTTAACTGAATCTTTATTAAAGCATGTAAAATGAAATGACATGATGGATATAGCTTGATGAAATTATGGCTGTTCGTGCATGAACAATTATGTGCTACCCTCTAGTGGTGAGTACGGCACCTATGCTCAGTCCGACCATCTAGTCGGGCGCTCCTACCATCATTTTATCAAATGTATGAATGTATGTAATAAATTTTTTGTAATAACTGAAAAAAAACGAAAGTTGTTTGAAATTAATAAAAAATATCCCAACTAATTGCTCCACTGTGCGTGATGTGGTTCATCAATCGGCCACGCACCGGAACAGGTTGACTAACTACGTCATAATCAGTTCCGTCTTTACCCTATGGGCACGTGGGGCACGTGCCCAGGGCCCCCATCCAAATGGGGCCCCCGGCCAAATCGAAATTACAATTTTAAATTGTAATGTTTTCGCCGTTACCGATCCTATACGATTACGACGGTTATCGGCAACGACTCGCGGAGTATGTTTCGGTCGGGAGCGGGAGGGGTTACCCACACAAATGCAAGAAACTACAACAAGTTTTATATATATAAATCAATTACTGCAGTGCCAATAATCTATATCAGTTTCCACCCGCCCGCATTATGTTTATGTACTAGATTATTTATCTTATCTTAATTATGTCAAAGCAGTGAATTGAATAGGAATTTTATTTTGAACGTTTTCAGTAAATACACAATAAAACTGGCTGTCAGTACAAGTGCGCCGTTTGTCCGTTTCGTTTTGTTTATTTAACTATAATAAAAATATAAAATATAACATTTTATTAGTGTCTGTAATAGAGTTGTAGTCTCATTTAATTATGTCAAAAAGGACATATTTGAGTGGTTCAGAAAAAAGAAAAAGACTTGCGATCCAAAAAGAAAAAATTAACAAATTGCCTAAGCTTACTTCATTTTTTACACTCGAGGAAACTAACAGGCAGAATGAGTTTTCGACCTCGTTATATCAAGGTACCTCTAAATTTGAAAGTCCAGAAATTGGACCCACTTTTAATGATACAACTAGTGTTTTGAGTTCATCAACTCCAAATTTTACTACAAATACACATATTATAGAAAATATATCTCACGACCCTGGTACTTACTGTGATGATATTTTAACTGAAGAAAAACGCGATATTTGGATACTCAAAGGACCAGAGTTTTTCCAGAATAAAAATAGTGACTTCTCCGAAACTTTTACAAGTTTTTCAGATGTAAGTGGTAAAACAAAAACTAGAAGCTTGACTAGAAATGTTTTCACCCGCAAATTGACGAATGGAGAGTGTGTAGAAAGAAGTTGGCTCATATATTCGCCGTTGAAGAAATCTGTATATTGTTACTGCTGTCGTATTTTTAACTATACTATTACTATAGGCAACAGTTTGAGTTCTTCTAATGGATATAAAGATTGGAAACATATTAGTAACTTGACTCATACTCATCTCACGCGAACAATTTTTTTTAATTTTCGGCGCAATTTTTCCTTGCCAACGAGCGATTACGGAATGATAACTTAACGAAATGATGGGATATCGATATGATCAAATACCTATACAGTGTTTTTAGTGCATTTTTTTTACATATTTTGACATTTTGATGTTTAAACGATACTTTTGATTATAAGAACATATTTCAAGTTTTTAGTGCATATAACCCTAGATAGTTTATCAAAAATCAAGCTCTTCGGTAAACATTTTTCATGAATCAAGGTCAACAATTATATTAAATTTGAATGAAGAATGAGATGAATATTGGCTGTATCATTTTTATATCCATACAAGTACATAGAAAATAGAATAAAATAATTTAAATAAATTTAAATATTAAATTGTTTAGAGTGTAGTTGTATCTTTAGATCATATTTAACCAATATACTAAATTAGTAAATTATATTATATTAATAAAATATTTAAAGAAAAATATAATTTTTAGTGTAATATGGGCTTGTAATTCTTTTTTTTTTAGGCATATTTTATATTATTTAACTGCATATTTTTAAATGCATATTTGATGATTTTTTAGTGCATAAAAGTTCCTTTTATAGTCCTTATTTTTCACATAAAAATATCTTTTCTACAAAATATCAGGAGGGCCCCTCTTGCCCCCCCCACCCCGCCCACCAGTTTACGCCTATGGTTAAATGAGCATATTATATGGAAAATTATTTTATGTAATTTGAAATTTATTTTGTTTAGTCTATATTAATAAATACAATACTATATGCATTTATAATATATTAAGAGGACACTATTTTATAAGACCCGCATGTATTGTATCTGTCTTACAAATGTACGACATAGCAAAAACTGTTTTACTAGAAATTTAACCACCCAGTCTGTAGTTCTAGTAGACACCAAAATTATACACAATATAGAAGATAATATTTTCTGTGTCGTAGAGTTTTTATTTGTTTGATAATATCATGTATAAGAAAAAAGTTACAATAATTTTAAAAATCTGATATTTATACTTTTTCCAAACTTAAATGACCTTTGATATATCTTATATAGTCTTATCAAAATAATAAAACTATTACACAGTTAAAATTCTCCTCTATTCATGATGAAAATTTAGTTTCTAAGTTATATCGGTTCTTGAAACAGTTTTTGCTATGTTCTAAATTTGTAAGATGGAGACAACACATGTGGGCGTAGCATCCTCTTAAGTGCGTTATTACATATTATTATGTACATTTATATGTAAAACCTAATAAAAAAAAAATATATATTCATTGAATAATAAAATATCTTATCTACCACTTTTTCAATCTATTTGTCGTGGTAAAATATTTAGTGTGGTAACTATCACGGTGAATTGATCAATTGATTTTGAGATATCCAGTATATTTAATTAGTATTATCGTAGACTTTTAAGTCATAGCTAATAGATAGGTCAACCCATGTTCACTTATATGGCTATATTG